GAACAGTGGTACCAGAAGCATCCAAATACCGTGGTGGTGAGTAGGTTTTGAATCTGGGAGCTGAGCCCAGATCTGCCCTTCTCAGTTGGTTTGTGAAACACAGATAGTCTTAGCTCAGTGGAGGAGTGCTCGCCCAGCTTGTGCCAGGTCCTGAGGGATTGTGGGGGGAGGATGAGAATCTCAGACTGACCCAGAGGACAGTGGCAGCATAGGGACAATGTTCCATTGCTTAACTGTAAGAGTGATGGAACAATTTGAATTAGCGCTAAGGAAGCAGCAGACTCTGTAATGTAGTTGCATGACTAGAGGTTGAAGGTGTGTTCAAAGAGCATGAATGGCTTTTGGCAAATACCTGGAAAGGGGAAATAGAAGAAAAAGAAAAAAATGTGCTCTTTCTGAGCAGGCTTAGCAGTGAGGACCTGTAAGCAGCTGTCCTGGGAGAGGGCCTCCTAAGGTATAGAAGCACATCTTTCATTGAGGGAACAACTGCCCCCATCTTCCTATCATGTCCTCAAGAGTGTTTGTTTCCTTCAGCTTTGACTTCAGGCTTGTCTCCTTGTCTTAAGGAGGTCTTAGTTTTGCTTGGACAAGAGAAGCCCTGTTAACATCAAAGGTGTTAACAACCAGGCCATTTGTAAAGTGGTTTACTGACCAAGCATGCTAGTTCTCTCAGAAGAGGTCATCATGTTAGTGTTGTCTCAGAAGAGGCACATGTTAGTATTCATATGTCCCAGAGGGGTCTCCAGGTGTCAGAGGCACCCATGTCATCGTCAGACAGGATCTCGTCAGTCATGGGCTGTAACATTTTTACCATGACATTGGTATAGACAAGCATTCTGCTTCCAATTGTTCTGGGAAGAGTTGGCCTCACACTGGCTCTGAACAAGAGAAACTTGCACAGAGACCTGAAATCCTGGACTAAATGCTAATGTCCTGGGCACAGCAGAAGAAAGGATGTCCCTTTAGAAAGAGCAAGGGGGACTCCTCCCAGAGCCTTTCTGACAGCAAAGGTGCTGTGCTTTGTGGGTCCAAGAACCCCTTTCTCAGAGATAGGCCAGGGCTAGTGGGAAACCCTGTGAAACCTCTGTGAGGAGATGGCCTTTCTGTCTCCCTTTCAGGTCTTATGTTTGTTTGTTTGTTTTAGGGAGAGAGACAATTCTCATATCAGAAGAGTCAACAGCTCAATAGAATCAAATTTGAAATAGTCTTTTATGTAAGATCTTGGAATCCTAGTAATGGCTTCGGGCTTTGCAGAGACAGAAACCCCCAGCAACATGAGAGTGTGCTGAATTTTTTTCAAGAGGGTGAGTGAGTTTTAAGAACTGATGCCAAGGGAAGGAAGCACTAGTGTGAACATCCCCTTTAGACAATGAACATAAAAAGATACCAAACCTTCCCAGGGGAAAGTCGTTCTTGACTGTTTCAGTCAAGAGAATGAATGTGAGGAAGGACGTCCGAACTCCGGGGAAAGTTGGACCCAAGCCCTTCATGAGCTAAGACTCTTCTCAGCTCTCAGTCCTCCATTCTCTGACTTTCTCCAGATTTCTGAGGCAAACACTGCAGTGCTTCCAAGCCCCGGGTTGTTGTTCTAGTGACTGGAGAGCCACCGCAGCCATCTGTGCTTTCAGCCTCTTTCATCTTCCTTCCTAGCTCCCTTCTCATTCCGTCAGGGTTTAGGAGAAAGCAAAGAGAGTTGAGGTCATGATCTCTGAGAAGAAACGATGAAGAGTAAAAAGAAAAAAGATAGGTTAACATCTCTCATAGTGGGAGAGATGGCTCAGTGGTTAAGAGAACTGCTCTTGCAACAAATCTGGGTTGGGTTCCCAGCACCCACATTAGGAGGCTCACTGACTACCTATAGCTACAGCTCCAGGGATATGATGCCCCTTTCTGGCCTCTGCAGGCACCTGCACAGAGACAGTCAGACAGACGCACAGACAGGCACACACACACATACACACTTATATGTGTACTTTTCTTAAACTAGAACAAATATCTGGAATGATCCAGAAATAGGGTAAGGTATGAAACAGGAGAGATCCATTTTTACATCTTTTCAAAAGAAAAAAATAATAAGGAAAACCTACAACAAAATAAGAAATGAAGAATGAAGAAGTGATTTATAGGAAAACAAAAGGTTTACAAGCAAGTGACTTTTAAACATGAGAAATGTTCTCATTGATGACTGAGGACCAGAAATTTAAAACATAAAGACACTGATGTATAATCACTAATAACCATGAGTTATGTATTTAAGAGAAATATGAAATGAAGTATGCAAGTAGAATATGATACCCAGAAAATATTCCAACGAGTGATTCAATAAAGATTTATTGCCAGGCATGATGGCACACCCCTTTAATTCCAGTACTTGGGAGGCAGAGGCAGGAAGATCTCTGTGAGTTTGAAGCCAACCTGGTCTCTATAGTGAGTTCTAGGACGGCCAGGGCTACATAGTGAGACCCTGTTTCAAAAAGAAAGAAAGATAGAAAGAAAGGAAAGAGAGGAAGGGAGGAAGAGAGGAAAAAGAAAGAAAAACAGAATTATTATTTAATTTATTATTTAGTTATGTGTGTGTTCTCACCATTCATTTTGTTTTGTTGTGTAGCTCGGGATAGTCCTAAACTTGTGTGTAGCCAAAGATGGCCTTGAACTCCTAATTCTCCCACCCCTGTTTCTGAAGTACTGGGACTGCAGGAATGCACCACATTGGGTTTACACAGCACCAGGGATAAAACTTGGGCTTCGTGCAGGCTAGCAAACACCTTAAAAAAGTGAGGCCCAGCGCTCCCGTTTTCTACATGTTTGAAATTAATATATCTGGGTAGACAAAATTTCAACTGATGTCACATGCCTATGCTTATTTGAATTTAGTAGTTGCTCGTTTCTCATTTGTAACAGCATTGCCTGTGAAATGCTAATGCTATTAACTATACACATATGGTTTCTGGGGAATCACCTGCCTGTTTTGATGCTGAGGAGAAGGTGTGGAGGGTGTGTTTTTTGATTGAGGGTCAAATTCCTACTCATGAGATTAATGGGGCAAAGAAAAACATTCAATTTTCAATCCTGTGAAAGAAATACCTTTCTTTTTCTTTTTCTATTATTAAAACAACATGTACAATATTGAGAAGTATGCTTCTCACAGAAGTAGTGATCTCTTAAACACTGTGATTTCAGCTTAAGCCCCCATCAAGAGTGCATGAATGGGCTCATTTCCCATCCATGCCTTTCTAAGCCCCATGCATGCATGGCATGCAGGCCACCCTGGCTTTCCTGTATGCCAAGGAAACAAGGGAATGGAAATTGGTAAAGAAATGGAGTTTCTTTACATTTTTACAAACCTGGGAGAGAAAGACCCTTCCATTCGTTCTCTCTGCATTTCCTATAATGTGTTACAGTTTCAGAGAAAGAGAGGAAGCAGAGGCCAGGAACTATGCATGTGCTATTTAGCTGTGCGATGGATCAGCTATTCTTCTCCAGGCAAGATGCAAAATGGGGCACTGTGTGTCTTCTCCATTTCTTGTTTTGCCTTGGAAGAAGACTCAGTGAGTGAAGGAACCTGTCGCCAAGCCTGGTGACCTGAATCTGAATCTGACCCCTAAGCCACATGGTGGAAGGGGAGAACAGATTGCTGAAAGTTATCCTTGGCCCTCCAAAGGTGAGTGCTCTCTATTTGTCTGTCTGTCTATCTATCTATCTATCTATCTATCTATCTATCTATCTATCTAATCTAAATATAATTAAATAAAAGCAATACCTTAAACTGGGTTCTTTGGAGGAAAAACAAATACCATGTTACTTAATTAAGCAGCTAGCCCAAAAAGAGGTTTTTATGAGCATATGCTTTCACTGATAACCTATTATCCCCTACGCCATTTTTATACTCAGATATCTAAGATTACCTAAAAAATAATTATCAGAAGGACAGGATGTGTCTTTGAAATCAAAAGCATCCCAAATAAATAACTAGACCCAGCTATTAAAGCTGCCCATCACCTTTGCTGTTGAAAATCTGGTTTAAACATTTGACTACACTCATAACTACTGCTGGCCTGAGACTGTTCGGAGACATGCAGATAATGGTGACAGTTGGCTAGAGCATATTTTGAGTGTCTCTGTTTTTCAGAGTGGAAAATGCATGAGGATCTCAGTCACTCTTTGATGAAAGTTAGCTTGAGTGGTGTTTGTGGTGGATTCTGAACCCTTTAGCTCACAGCAATAGCAGCAAGAATGACTGAAATATTGAAGCAGAGCCATAGACCACATTTCATTTGACCCTGACATGACACAGAGCTTCACCACCATGTTTGTTTAAGCTCCTCTCTGCTGGAAATAATACTCTAGATGGTCTTTGTTCCTGTCAATTTTGACAAACTCGCTTATAATAGACTTCTTTTTGTTTTGCAATAAATTATAAAGTGCACAATGTCTACATATAGTTTGTATATTTGTAACATCCCAAACTTAAACCATTTAAATATATTTCTAGGTAACACCATTCTGTCCTTGAATTACCAAATTATTGAAAATCTCCAGAAAAAAAATCCAACATATTTATTTTAAAAACGTCTGTGTGTCAATGAACCCACATGGGTTCGGATGGCTGATGTCCAAGTGTCCAGTCAGCCGTGCTGGGCATCTTCAAATCTTATTGGTGGATTATCTGGGGATGTATTTTGCTCCTCATGCATCTGGGTAGGTGTTTGGGATCATGGGTCTCCAGAGAATCAAAAGTTGGGCCACAGCACAATTCATCCATCTCCCTCTTCATGGAATTAGAGGCAGGCTAGGAGTGACTAAGGCTAACACACTAAGCTGCAATGGCTGGGTTCAAAACTAACTTGGTCCTTTTTCTACTCATGACAACTGGCTTGCTACATGCATGACTCAGCTTCCTTGTCTGCCAATATTATCTACATCGTTGTTGTAACTGAGTAATGAACGACGAAGCACTGTCCACTCTGATTATTGTCAGTATCGACATCTTCCTCAGGCGCAATAGAGATGGGCACAGCCAATGACAGCACCTTCAGCCATTTCATCCTTCTAGGTTTCTCTGACCAGCCCCAGCTGGAGAGGGTCCTCTTCGCAGTCATCCTGCCCGCCTACCTCCTGACCCTGCTGGGCAACAGCACCATCATCCTGGTGTCCAGGCTGGACCCGCACCTGCACACCCCCCATGTACTTCTTCCTCACACACCTGTCCTTCTTGGACCTCAGCTTCACCAGCAGCTCCATCCCACAGCTGCTCTACAACCTCAGCGGGCAGGACAAGACCATCAGCTATGTGGGCTGTGCTCTGCAGCTGGTCCTATTCCTGGGCCTGGGGGGTGTGGAGTGCCTGCTGCTGGCTGTCATGGCCTATGACCGCTTTGTGGCCGTCTGCAAACCCCTGCACTACATGGTGGTTATGAGCCCCAAGCTCTGCGTGGGCCTGGTCTCAGTGGCCTGGGGCTGTGGGGTAGCCAATTCCTTGGCCATGTCTCCAGTAACCCTCAGTTTACCCCGCTGCGGACGCCGCAGTGTGGACCACTTCCTCTGCGAGATGCCAGCTCTCATCAGGATGGCCTGCGTCAACACCGCTGCAGTGGAAGGCACAGTGTTCGTCCTGGCGGTAGGCATCGTGCTCTCTCCCTTGGTGTTCATCCTGGTCTCCTATGGCTACATCGTAAGAGCTGTGCTGCAGATCCGCTCTGCTGCGGGGCGGCAAAAGGCTTTCAATACGTGTGGCTCGCACCTCACTGTGGTTTCGCTTTTTTATGGAAACATCATCTATATGTACATGCAGCCAGGGAACAGCTCCTCCCAGGACCAGGGCAAGTTCCTCACCCTCTTCTACAACATGGTCACCCCTCTCCTCAACCCTCTGATCTACACGCTCAGGAACAAGGAGGTGAAGGGGGCGCTCAGGAGGCTGCTGCTGGGTAGCCGAGAGACAAAAGTAGTAAGGGCTGGTTCCAGACAGAACAGAAGGAAGCTGTCCTGGTGAGGATGGCAACGAAAACTGAGACCCAACTCAAGCTCTTAGGCGAATATTTTAAAGGGAAAGAAAGGGACTGAGAAAAATGTTCCATGATGATTTGGGGAAAATTCAGGCTGCCCTGTGGCAGAGAAAACACAGACACGATATTGGATTGTTGGAGAGTTCTGGGATTTAATAGTGGTTAAAGGGGACTTTCCCATGTAAGAAGCAGTTTTGACCGTTTGTCTCCATAATGTCTTGGTGTTATACAAGGTGAAATGTGCTCTTGGGGAAAGGCAAGGGGACAATAGGTGCCTGGATGTCACTCCATGTGAGGCCTTGGGTACCACTGGCAGTACTGGGTCTGATCAACTCTAGTCTGCAGCTCTCCACTGATTTGAATCTTCTGGACTTTTATAAACCTGTGCAAGGTCCCAAATCGTCTGCTTTATAAGTGAACTAAACATTGTGTGTCTCCCAACCTTTCCCATCCTGTCCTGTGATGATCCACGAATAAATAAAGCAAAGTATGCTCATTGGTCTCTCTAGTCAATGTGCCTAGGTTTAGAATCACCTGGGAGACCAAGGGACAGAGTGGGTCAGTGAGGGTGTTTGCAGAGGTTAATAATGGGGGGGAGGTTATCCTGAATCTGGCTAGACACTGTCTGATGGCCCTGGGCCCCAGACAGACCAACAGGACTAAGAAAGAGGAAACAAACAGGAGGCCACTTCTCCCTGCTGTTTCCTGGCTGCCAGGAAGTGAGCAGAGGTGCTCAGCCACCCTTTCTTGACAGTATACACAGAAGCGCCTGAAACCAGAGCCTAGGGGCGGCCATTCCTTCTTTATTAACATTAAGTGACTTAGTCACAGCAATGGAAAGGTAACTAATGCAACCAGGAAAACAGGAAAGATAAGGTCCCATTAAATTGTTCCTTGGTGCCAAGTAGAACACAACTTTCCGTAGAATTTTATCTTATCTGTTTGTGTTTAATTTCTTTTTGATTACGTGTGTGTGTGTGTGTGTGTGTGTGTGTGTGTGTGTGAAAATCTGTAATCCCAGCACTTGGAAGATGAAGTCAGGAGGATCAAAATTTCAAGCTCTGACTACATAGCACGTTCAAAGTTATATCCATAAACGGCCAGGCTTTCTCTGGGCCAGTCTCATTCTCACTGTCTTAGAGAAGCAGGATCCTTGAGTCTACAATAGACCCAGCAACAACCACAGGCAGGGAAGCCTCATGAGGAAAACTCCAACCCATTCAGGCTGTGATTTATTTCACAAAAATGAACAATAACTACATCTGGCCATGGACATCAGTGTCTCTCCACACTTCCTCCCAAAGTGTTCTTATGGATGGAAGAGAGTCACCACCCCTTTCCATGGTGGAGGAGTCTACTGACTACAGGGTTGTCCCTTTGAAGTAACAGATTTCAGGCCAGGAATCTTACATGGAGATTATTGTTACCACATAACCTTGATGAGGGGATTTCCAGTGTCAAGCAGGTGTCTGATCCCTGCATTGATGCCTCAGCCATTTTGCCCATGAGCCCTCGGACCAACCCCACAAGAATGGTTCTTCCATTTCCCACCCCTCCTCTGTTCCAGCAGGAGCAGCTGCTGCAGCAGCTGTAATCCACCATGCAGGTCTGACATATTCTTATCCTTGACTTACAGAATAGGTAACCGAGGCACATGTGTATAGAACTGATCACATATCTATAAAAAAAAAATCCCCATGCTTTGTATTTAACCCAGAAAGTTTTACAAATCCATTCTTCTGCTTCCAAATGATTCTGGGGAAGGGCTAGTGATTGAAGAAGACTGGACCATGCAAGTCTCAATCTGAGATGTAAGGCAGAAGAGAAAAGTGTTTTAGGTGGCCTTCTCACTAGAGGTCTCAACATATGATCCCACAGAAGCCTTTTAGTATATAGTTAGATAAGCCAGGTATAGTAACAGTGGACAGGAGGGATCTAGCATCCCAACTCCAAGATCATCATACATAGGCTTTCACTCACCTGAATTCTCAAGCTAGGTTGGCTACTAGATACAGACAGTGAGGGCAGGTGTGAGGACAGGCCAGACATTCCCCCATGCTGTTCCTGAAAGTCAACAGGTGCTATTTAAATGAACATTATACGGAGTGTATACAAGCACCAATTAGTTGTTAATTACTAGCTACTTAATGGGATTCGGTGGCAAATACCTTAAAAGTATTTTCCTTAGGTCTATTTATTTTAGATTACATGTGTGAGAGCTTTGTCTGCATGTATGTCTATGCACCACATGTGTCTTATGGAACACATAAGAGCTAGGAACAGTTGTGAGGCATGTGAGTGCTGAGAACTGAGCCAGGTTCGGCTCAACAAATGCTCTTCACTGCTGGGTCATCTCTCCATCCCTAAATGACAAAGAATTTTATTACAGTTAGTCATACCAAAAAGAACTGGAATTGAAGTATTTAAATTCAGAAACCCATGAGGGGATCTAAACAGAGGGTGCTGTGTTCAAAATGTCAAGCAGTACTGCCACCTAGTGGAAAAAGAAAGAGGTGACGTGCTTTGTCCAAGAGTTAAATTGCTTGCTTCCCACTGATGACTGATACCTGAACTCAATGCAAGGCACCCATGTGGCGGGGAAGACAATAACGGACTTGTTTTTTAGTCTCTACTCTTTGGGGGACCTGCCATCAAGCTCCCCCCAAAAAAATCACACACGGAGACTTATTTTTACTTAGAAATGCCCCGCCTTAGCTTGGCTTATTTCTAGCCAGTTTGACTATGGGCTTTTTCCTTTCTTCTGTAATCTTACTTTGGCTCTTAGTTCATGATTGGCTGGGTGGCTGTCCCCTAACACCCTCCTCTCCTTGTTCTCTGGCTTCCCTCTAATGTTCTTCCCCTCCTATTAAATTTTAAATATTCTCTCTGCCTGCCAGCCCTGCCTATTTTCTCTCCTGCCTTGCTATTTGTCGTTCAGCTCTTTATTAGACCAATCGGGTGTTTTAGACAGGCAAAGAACCACAGCTTCACAGAGTTAAACAAATGAAGCATAAGAGAATGCAACACATCTTTTGCATCATTAAAAACAAATGTTCCACAGTGTAAACAAATGTAACACATCTTAAAATAATATTCTACAACATGGGAACCAAAACACAGATCCACAGTGACACTAGCAGCTGGCGAGGGGCAGGAGAGGGTTACCTTCTTCAGTTACCTTCATCTTTTGGGAATCTCAATGCAGGAAAACTAGATCCTTGGCTTTCACGAAGAAGAGAATTCAGAATGAGTTACTAGGAGGCAGAATCCAGTTTATGAAAACCTTTAGATTTTTAAGTGCGAGGGTTAAGAGAAGTAATGTGCTGGGAGAAGGCACATGAGGGTGGACTTCTCTGAGAGTCACACTCCGTTGTGTTTACACTATGGTCACACAGACTATCACCTTTAAAGGCGTGCCCAGGAACCTAGCTGAGATCCCAGGGTGGTTTTGTTGATTTTCTAAGCTTATGCATATTTATTTTCTTTCTGATATAATCATAATATTCCAAATGACCTAGCTTCTGTTCCTTTGGTTCTATTGTTACCTTTGTGGGGTCAAATCCTCAGCTCTGACAGCCCTGACAAGCCAGGTGTGGCCATCTGTTCTCTCTTTGCCAAAGCAAGAGGTAAGTACCAGAGGAAAAACAAAGGCAGAAAGTGTAGGCAATGTGACCACATTGTGAAGAGAAGAAATGAGGACCAGTGATGCCTGAGTCCATCTTCAGTTCCTGACATGAAGTTTAGCTTTTAACAGGGTAAGAGGCATGTATAGCTAAGAAGTCCTGGTCCAGATGCGGGGAAATTCCACTTTCTTTGCATTTATTGTCCCAGAAGTCTGGCAGCTGAAGTGAGGGACACAAGTGTCTCTCTCTGGAATATTTCCATTTCTGCCAGGATGGGTTCAGTAGCATCAGTGGAAACGAGGATAAATCATAGTCCTAAACTCTATCAGCATGTGCACCAAGGAGAAGAGGATAGCAGGGATTATGTAAATGAAAAGTGCAGCAACAAGTTCACTGTTAGGATTGGGAAGGTGGCTCCAAGGGTAAAAGCACTTGTCCAAGCCTGGGGCCTGAATTCAAACTCCAGTTGTGTAGTAGTGCACATCTGTATCCCAGCACTCGATTGTGAGATGGGAGGCAGAGACAAGAGTCAGGCAGAAACTTACAGGCCAACAAGCGCCAATCACATAAAGTGACAGAAGCAACCAGAGACCCACCTTAAAAAAGTAGGAGATCCAGACCCTGAGAAGTTGTCCTCTGACCTCCACATAGGCACTGTGGCGTGTACTCACTTACATCCTATCTCTGTCTTACAAATGCATGCAAAAACAAATAAAATAATACCTTGTCTGTTGTCTCAATTACATTATTATTGTCTCAATTAATTATGTTTCAGTGCAGAAAACCCAGTCTGCAGAGACCTGACTGGGTGTGGTAGGGTAGTGTGGTGGTAGTGATGATGGTGGCGATGGTGGTGGTGGGGTGGTGATGGTGATGGTGGTGATGGTGGTGGTAGTAGAATGCTTTGGACCTGTTTGGAGGTGAGATCATCCTTCAGAGAGAGAATGAGCACTGCAAAGTTTGAGCTGTAAATTTGCTCCAATCTCCAGGGGAAAAACTCTTAGCCCCAGCACTCATTAAACTGTTTTCTTCCCTGACTGTATCAGATAATTAGTGTGCTTTGCTTCCTGTGGGCCCCACCTCTGTCTGTCATACCAGGAGGAAACAACAAATGTCTTAGTTTACAAGCACAGGGCCAATAAACTGAAGGTTTTCACTCATCTTTCTGTCCAACATAAGACCCTATTTTCATGAAGTTAGTAGGATGGTCAACGCAGTCAAACTATTAAACTTGGGTAAAGGTTAAGCTATGTCTGCATTAACAAGTTACTAAACAAAGACTAGTTTTCTCACTTGAATTCATCCAGGGAACTTTCAAAGTTAAGATATGAATGTATTAAAGTGCTAATGTATGGACCAATCAT